CATGGGCAGACGCATCAGATGCTCTTTCCAACTTTTTTGATCCTGTGCCAGCGTTCGCTCGTTGTCAAACGATAACCCTACTCTGTATCAGAGCTCTTCCATACACATGCCCCAGATTTTTATTGGCCATTCCTGGGATCTTCCGCGGTTGGACAAGTAGTAGCTGTTTCGCCTTTAAAGGATTCGTGAGACGTGCCTAAACCATTGCAGCTGTGAGTTATCAGTCTGAAGAAGCACCCTGGCTGTGCACCAAGAGAAGGGTCTCAGATTTTTGTATTCCGGATCATTTCGAAACCGTAAACGCAGTCCAGCGATTCCTGTCAGAAAGAAAGACCAATTTAGCTGATTTTTAGCGGAATCGAAGTTTTTCTCTCGTGGCTCACGACTCATCACTCTAGGTGAACATCGGGACGAAAATCAGTTTTAACCAGGGATAGGGGCATGAGATGAAAATTTACGTGGTAATGTCGATGCCATACGGGCGAGGGTTCAAAGCTTCGTGTTGGAATCTATGAAATTTCGAATCTGAGCTCTCTCCATCGATTGAATAGTAATAGATGATATTGTCACGGTCAGTACATCATGAGCAAAAAATTAGGTATAAAGTATTTAAAGAAATATCAAGAGAGTTTTAACATGTGTTTTTGCCATACCAGTGTGTCTTTCGGCAACCCGTATGATCCAGTTAGTAAACAGCCCGGTTTCTACAAAGTTCGTATGTTATAAAATCTTCTCCGTATCAATTGTTGCTCAGTCGACACCTTTCTTCCAGATATCATCGAATCTTACCTTAGGTAACGACAGAGGGATATGTATCACGGCGTGTTAAACGATAAAATATATTCTTTCTTCTAATTTATTTGATATAGGAGATAAAGGTTATTAGTAGAATGAAGGAGATGAACGTTGTCGTTATTTTTAAAGGTGTATGGCAGAATTTAGATTTTACATGCCAGTTGACAGTTTCAATAAGACATCGCTTTTGTGCGCAATTCGATGACAATATCAGTAAAGTGTGATCGAAGAAAGGCGCAGCTTACGATATGAATGGATGTATGGAGCGATTGCATTTAGGTTCCTTGTTTAAAACGGAAAACGACAGAGTGATTCATAAAATCTTTCTTTATCTTCATGTCCCAAAATGAAATGGCATTGGTTTGCCGTTTTTAGACTGTAAGCTTCATCCCCTTCTCATTTTTAGGACATTAAAAAAGCGGAAGAAGGTTATTTTGATATCAGAAGTCCAAAGATGTTTTCTGTGTGCCTGCAGTTGTAGGAATGTTTCACACCTAGACAGCAAATATCAGATACTGCGAATTCAAAGTTATTCACAAAATTTGCACAACGCTAACGTAACGCTATTTTCGAGATCCCAATGAGACCCCAAAAAATAGGTGATAAAGAATCTTGTGGGGTCCAAAGCAGATGTTGGAAATTGTCACCTTAAGAAAGTACATTTCTCAAACGACAAATCTTTGAGTAGGGAACATCTCCGTTTCTCCATATGTGCTCGACTTATTACAGAATGGAGTACTCTAACCGAAATGTTGTTAAAGAGAGAGTCAACCTTGAGAGCCAT